TTTTTGAAAGGAAATGTTTAGGTACTTTCTCATGACAAAAACCATAAATTATTCTCTTGAGAGTTTGCAGGGGTTGTTCCTTTTTACTTTAGTTCTGCTTTTTGCTAAAGATGCTAAAATTGGCCGTTTGACTAGGATTATTGTACAGTAATTCACAACTGATGAAGAACAGTAAATCAAGATCTTTTTTTTAAAAAGGCAGAATGCTGATTTGGAAACCTCCTCCTTTGCTTATACTCTATGAAATAAACTGATTTACATGTCCAGGTGACAGAAGGGAAAAGAGGGGGAATATAGAAGTGGATTTTTCACAGCAATTTCTCCCCAAGCTTTATAGATAATTAGATTTTTAAATATCTTTGTGGATCATGTCTGCTCTCTACAAACTTTGTTGACTAACTGCAACTAAACTTGCATAGTGCAAGTGCAATGTGTTTTGCATGGGTACTATGGTACATATTGAAATGTTGATATTTTATTTTCTACAGTGTCCTATCACTTGGTTGTTTATTAATTGTTAAAACAAAGATAACTGTGAACTAAGTAATTTCCCATATATCATAGCAAATCAAAAAAGTATTGAAAAGACTATTTGACTGGTACACTATTTTTAACTAACCCAAGATGATGAAGGTAAGCTGGGATGAAGAATGAGAAATAATACTAAACTGTCAGCAGCCACGTCTCCTAGACTGGGGAGAACGGCTCTTCTTATCTGTTAAAATTGGTGGATCTGGCAAAACAAAAACTGAAACAAAGCCCTCTCCCAGGCCCACCCCAACAACCTGTCAGTGCAGCGTTGGCAGTCTCTGACCCTGCACTAGAAATCGCTCTCCAAAGAGACAGTTTCTGGTCAGCGCCGGAGTCAGCGCAGGCACTCTCCTTACTGACCTTCAGGGCTGAAATCCCAGTTATATGGAAGAAAACTGCTGTTGGTATGAATCCTACAAAGTAAATAAAATACTCATAACCTCTTTTATTTGGAATGTTATATTTCTTTCAGATGAGTGCATTATACCACATAGGCTATCCAGTATTTTCTTTCAGCCCAGTAATGTTTTAATATAATGGAAAATCTGATTGTTAAAGTGAAAAATTCTGAGTGCTTGAAAGTATTAAAGTAAGGGAGGGAAAACAAATGCTGTTACTGGCTTGATGTTATAATCAGTTACTTAGATAAGGTGATTGCGTTAGCCTAGGAGCCTGATTAACAGTATTTATTAGAGTCAGATTTAGATAAAATTGAATTGAAATGAGAACATTTTGCTAGGATGTCTAAAATAATATATATACTCTGAAGACAATATTTAAATGTTCTAAGGAGATAAACATCTTAATGGTCTCTCAGCGGCACAGCTCTCTCTGTTAAGCTTGACCTCAAATAGTAATAGAGAAGTAATGTACAACCTAGTTATGCGTGTTTATATCCTACTGATGTATGTGGGTGTTGTGATGTACTCTAGTCCAGAGCACAGCATTGTAATGGCTTTGATCCCATGACTGTTCATTTAATGAGAGAACTTCTTGGTTACCGCCAGGGGGCAAAATCAGGTCCAAAATACTTTGTGTTATAAAAAAGAAAAAAAAATCTGCTACTATTTGCTCTTGCAGCCTTTTAAGATACATATTTACCACATTAGAATTTCACAACAAACATGTAAAGCAAATAAAACTACACTCATCTTGACACTATTTTAGCTCCAGAAAAATATCTACTGGATCGTTCAAGGTTAAAAAAAACAATAAAATAGGAGTGCCCATTCAGTCCTTTTTTTTCACTTTTGTGTCTTGCATTCATAATTGTAAAAAAAAAAAAAAGAAGTTCTCTTAATTTGAAATCGCCTATGAAGAAGAACAAAAACATAGAGAACAAAGCAGAAAATACCTTTTGATGATCCTGATTGCATCTTGCACTTGGGTGCACGGTCTGTCTCTAAACTCTGACTCATCTGCCACCAGCAGGCTTTAAGGTGATAATCACCCACACAGAGCTATTCGCACATCTTGTCTATCCCATCCTGTATCTAATTATACCCTTTGTAACAAACTGCTTAGCATAATTAGTGGAGTTATGCTTTACAGGAATAAAGATAGAAGCTATGGTTTAGAAGATTCAACTTTTTAAAGGCATACATGTACAGAGTAGGAACTTTGATATTTGGTCACAATAATGAACATTTTGATGCATTGGTCTATGTAAAATTGTACAATCATTATTTTAGCAAGTAAAATAATGTAGTTTTCAGAATATTTACATACTGTATGTAAGCATTGCTTAGAATTATGAAATGGTTTTGGGACTCATTAATTGCTAACACTTTCACCAGTATTTTTCCAGACATGGCTGAAAAATGCTGAAAGAGCCAGCACTGGAATCAAGAATGCTGGAAATGATCAGGGAATCTGCTATTCAACTGATAGACAACAGCAGGGACAAATGACCTTAATGGGAAAGCTCTGATTTGTTGTTTTTTTTTCCTTCTAGATGATCAGAAAGGATGTTTACTTAGTGACCACTCTTTCTTTGTGTTCAAGCTTTAATGATGAGCTGCTTTAATACAATATCCTTTGACGTAAAAAAAAGGAGTAGAGAATGATACACATATGTGCACATAGGTAAATATATTTTATTTTCCTTTACTTGCTTTCATTGCAGTCTTAAAAGTGCTAAATGAACGTTGCTTGCAGTGGCATCTTCTGTGTATGCTGGCAGTTTAGTCTTCATAACCCCTTGCCCCAACCCCGTCCTTCTTCTAGACTATGAAAAGCTTGAGGCACAAAAAAGCCAATACCCTCCCCCCTCTTTAGTGTTTGCTGCCAGGCAAAATAAACCCCAAACTGTTATCTCCTGAGAGTAACTTCCTGTCCTCAGATGGGGGAAAACTCAGCTGATAGGAACACAAACATCGTATTAGCATAGACAAAAGAAGAAATCATGCAGAATCCATTAAAGCAGCCATAACTAATTAATCTTGTTTGGTTTTATGTGTTAATTGTACTTCTGTTAAATTCTCTTAGAGACCAGGATAAATTTATGGGTTCTATCCTTGTTTAATGATAATTCTGCTATTTCTATTTTATAGGAAAGATGTTCAGAACATTGTGCAAGTAAAACTATTTTCCCCCTGAGCTGTTTAAGAAAAAACACATGAAAAATCCAAGCAGAATATCAGTATTTACTTGTGCTCATGAAGAGATGCTCATGCTTCATCCTTTCCAAGTAGGCAGAGAAATTTGTTGCATTCTACCACATATTATTGCAAGACATTTATAGCAGATTAAAGATAAAGCATAGACTTGCAGAAACTCTTGTATTTTCTGTGGAATGTTAAACAGTATTTTCTCCATTTGCGATAAACTGTACTAATCACCCCAGTGTAAAATACAAGGAGGTCAACAATGCATCCTTTCAGGTCACCATTGTTTAAAAGGTATTTGAGTTTCCCTATTAAGTTTTCAAAGGCCAACATCTGCTGATGCTCAGAAATGGTAGATGTGGTGACGAAGGCTGTATGGGGTGTGAAGTGAAAACACAATCATAAAGTCCATGCAACGCAGTACTAAGAAACTACAGCACAACCAAACTCCAAAGAGCTAGTTTCCCATTCATCCCATTTCTGGTATTAATGGCAGGAATATTCCTGAGAACAGTGACATAAAGGTCTCTTTCATTTAGGTTTGTTGGGTTTTTTTTTTTTTTGTTATAAAATAAGCGTATAAACACAAGGTTTTGAAAATAGTGTATCACTATGCATTTGCAGTCATGTAGATGCCAAAGGGGATACTAGAGCGGGAAAATGACATTATTAAGATTGAAGGCTTTCATTTGCACGTTATTGTCATTGATGCTGTTTCACTATTTAAAACTGCAAAACAGATGCCATGGCATTCAGCTGTTAATGCTGCTCTCATTTGCAAGGCTAGTTTTGATGGCATTTAACTTGTTGTCTAGAGCTTAACAAATCAGCGCTATTCATGAGCTTAAGTAAACCGCGCTGATTTATAAATTGACAGACCTGACCCCGCATCAAAGTAGTTTTACCCAAATTATTAGAAGCTTTTCAGCTGGATATCAGATATTTCAAATTGTGTTGTAGTACTGTGATTTTTTATCATTGTGATAGTCCCACATCACACAAGTGGTGTGTAAAGCCCCTGCAAAGCTGAGGCCATGGGGAATTTTCTTTCAGTCAGCCACAGCAGGATCCCATTTCTACCTCTCTGCTTTACTTGTGATCAGTCAATGCGTCATGACTGTGTGCACTTCCCAGCCATGGAACTCAGTTAGGCTCACAGCTGAGCTACTGTGCACTTAGTCCTTTCAAGTGTTTTATTTAATTAATCATCTATTTCATTGATATATTAGTGCTTTACATAACGGTGTTATGGTTTGGTTATAGTTTAAGTATAATATTTTGGTTCTTTAATTGCATACAGGAAAGCAAGTTTTTGTGAAGGAACATAATTCTGCTTATATTGCAAAGTAAAGCCCAGTTCAAAGGCTGCTGGAGTTAAAGATTCTAGCAGATGCATTGCATTTGCTAAGCTACTTCATAAAAACAAATCTCGTACATTTATAAACTCTTCCATTTGCTCTTTGAATTTACATACACACATACCCACATGAAAATTAATGGTCCTATACTTCTTCGTTATTAGCAAACACTTTTTTTTTTCAAAAGTGCTCAACAAATATTTTCTGTGGAACAGTGTTTCAATTCTCTGTATAACATTCAGTTTTACAGCACTCAGTTTTCATTTGCTGATCAGAACTGATCAAAAAATCTGTGGTTGAAGGCAGATGTGCTGTCAGGAGTGACATTTGCTCTGACCACGTAATACGGTTACCCATTAATGTGACAGAGGAAGGCCAACACACAGCCCCTGCATTACAGAGCACATTTTCAGAGAAAACATTAACTACAACAGAAAGGGATATTGGGAAATTAGATCCAAGAAGCTGAATGAAAATGCAAAACAATACTGGTTTTATTACTTACTACCGATACTGGAAATACTGGGTATGCCTGTAGAGAAAGAAAACAGAAAAGTACAGTTAGCTGTTTGCTGTATTTAGCTGAGCTATTACATCTAAGATCCTGAAAACAATTCTCTCCTGGTTTTCAGAATATTATATCAATACATAGTTAAAGCCAACAACTGCCAATATGTACCCAGCCCTTTAGAAATTCAGTCTTTAGATTTTTCAGTATGAGGCTGCAGGGACCACTAAAATGTATCGACAGATGGGTATTTCTGGGACCTACACCAGCTCTCTGAACTTCATGAATTAGTTCAGAACAGTTTTGTATTTCAACTAACCAGCCATTAGGTTTAATGCTCTAGATAAAAATATAGTCATGCATGTATTATGCACATCTAGGAGAATAATTTAATCAAGGGATAGATGCATTGCTAACTGCTTTGGCCAGCTGCTTAAATCAGTTCATACCTTCTGTTGCATTAACTGTATATAGCTATTTTTTTCCTCTTTTACCTGATGGTTATCTAATTAAAGCTATAGAAAAGACAGGTAATTGAGCGAAACAATCTAATGCATTAGGTTGGTCATATTGACTAAGCCTCTCATTGATTTTTTTTTTCTTTTCTGCTTTCACTTCAATTCCTAAGTTGAATGAATGCAAGGAAACCACTCCAGAGGCAGGTGAGATTTACCAGAAGAGGTGGGGCCACTGAGAAGTAAAACTCCTCTGCTGGATTAGCAATGAGGGGTCTCATGTTGCACCATGCAGTCCCAACATGCAGCTTGTTGTCAGGTCTGCCCTGAAAGGTGTGTAGCACAAAAATATGGACATGAAATATTTTCTGAAATGCCATTTTCTTTAGATTAAATGGCATTGCTAATGACACTATTGCTAGCCTCTTGGGTTAAAGTTACAAATTGCAGATCAGCATTTAAATCCCAGATATTTGCATCTTCTAGGTTAAATACAGTTTGCCTTTTGCAAGTTTTATTGACTTTTGATGGCATGCATTTTACTGCAGAAATCTGTCTGTTTCTCCATTAGACATCTGCTATACTTCTTTCAACATCCATCCTTAAATTTCATCTTGCTCTGAGATGGTATGGACTTCATTCTGCAGTTAAGCAAACTGGAGAGAAGCAGTGTCTTGGGGATAAATAGTATTCACAGTAAGCGAGGTTGTAGAGTGAAGTTGGGAACATTTCTAACTCATGGCACAGCTAAAACAGCGCTGAAGTAATTGCATTTGCAGAATGGCAAACATAAACAGATCTTCTGTGTTTCACCACACCAGTCCCAGGGCACATGTCTGAACTGCAGCTCTGGTTTTGTATCCCATGGAACCTGTGGTCTGGCACGGCAGCGGGCGCTGCACTTGAGACAGCACCTGCTGCTAACCGAGACCCACACTCAGATCTTGTTTGCAAACTTACTAATTTCTACTTCTGCTGAGATTAACATGTATTTCCCAAAATTTTAGAATCCTGAGGTATTGAAAGCTGAATAAAATACCATCATAGTAGAGCAATGCTGTTAGAGTTCTAAAAGTAACAAAAAGGGCTTTTTTCAGTTAGACTAATGTAAAAGAACTCTAATCCCTTTATCTTAAATGTCAAAAAGGCAATCAATTTTCAAATAATTTTCCCTGAAGTTTCAATAGCAGCTTGTTTACATTTTTGCAAGTCATTGTAGCTGTTTTAAATTAGCAGGATTCATCTTCCTTTATAAACCGATGGAAACTGCACAACTATTAGATAAGAAACAGATACTGTGTTCTCGCACTTACACTTCCACTGTGAAATGGTATTTGTGTTTCCTCTGGGTATACTCCCCCGCCTCAAACCTCTTTCTCTCCTACATGCACATACAAATATCCTTTCCTTTTTCTCCTGAACAGATTGTAGCAAAGGGAGAGGTCTTCCTGCAAGTCTGCTCTCCTCATTTTACTGCATTTCAAAAACTTCAATGAATTCATAGCGATAAATGCTTCCTGGGCAGAGAATAATGAAAACAAGACGCCTGCAAGCCTGAAGGGCTCTGTATTAACCTTGCAAGGTTGTCTTCAGGTCCTGTTTAAAAAGCTCTTCTTCTTTTTCCCTACTGAGTTTCTGGGTTGATGTGATCTTCTGTAACCAGCTTGACTTTTGTAATACCAGGTATCCCTGTGTGCAGTGACTGGCCTCGATAGTGCACTACTTTATGCCCTTTCTGCTAAAGAGAGTGAGAATGGCACATCTAAGTTTGTCTGGAAAAAAGCTGGTTATGTAGGGCCACGAAACAGGATCTATTAACACTCTGTGAAAACTGCACATACGATGGGAAAATTATTCTTAGTACGAGCGTTTTGGTGAGATCTGGAGTTACATATTGAGGCTAGCTCTTGAACTCAGCTGAGCTGTATTTGGTGCAAGTCCTTAGGTAATGAGGCACTGGAGGTGTGATTCTGCCTCTCCCTCTCTGTCAGTGTATAAAGTAGTACATTATGTGATGTGGACAATTTCCTGTCAGCCTTCTATTGAAATCTGTGACTATGTTGCAGCAGTGAAATAACGTGAACAGGTTACAGAGAGAGAAGAATCAGGCCCAACACTTCCCTTGATGCACAACTCTATTCAGCTGGACATAAAGAGTAAATAAAACCAAGTGACTTCATTTGTGTATATTCAGTTGTTAAACCAAAGAAATGTTCAGTCTAAATTACCTTCCAGTTGAAATCACTGGCATGGTTATTAATGGTAATAGTTTTATAGTGAGGAAAGAGCAAGTAAAGTGTGCAAAGAAAGTTCAGGGGTAGCTACTGCCCCTGAAATGGCAAACATTGCAGAAGAAAGTCTCTAATACTATATATTATTTTTTACTTGACTTGAGGGTGCTGGTTTTGTATATTACATGTTCACTGTAAGGGTATCTAAATATACATGCATTACTTGAGAGAAAAAAATCTGGTGTTTTCCTTTCATATGATCTTCTGCATCTGCCCTGTAATTTTCTCGCTTCCTCTTTTTCCAGGAATGGGTTGTTTTAGCTATTAGCTACCATGGAGCTGCCTATTGACAACAGAGGAAAAAGCAAATCAGATGCTAGCAAAGAAAGCGAATTTTTGATTTCTTGTATAGTTTGTGTCAGTGTGAAATCTGTAACACAAATGAAGAGCATCAAGCTTTTGCTGAGAAAGGGCACGCTACTGCTTCCAGTCTTGGGGCAGGTCATACCCTGCAGTCCCTCTCATCACCTCCATCCTCAATGCCTGTGCGTGCTTCCCGCCGGCAGTGCAGTTAATGCAGCCACGCTGCGTCTCTTCCTGAGCAGGGAGTACGTGTGGGATAAAGGGATTATTCTGTCAACTCAGACTTGGCTACCATCTTTCCCATGGGTTTCTCCACCTCTTCTCCATCACAGCTCCAATGTGCCATATGACAGGGAGCCAGGGACAGGGTCCTGCTGCTATCATAACACTACACCCAGCTTGCAGCTCTCTCACATTCAGGGAAAGAATGTCACCAAGAGCTCAGTAAATTATCCAGGTGAGGTAAAGAGAGCTCAGAGACTGAGAATTAAGCCTGACTCCTATAAAGGCATGGCAGGATAAGATAGTAAATAATGCAGTGCAAGTTCAGATTCATATAAATTGCTGATCAAAGCCATGTGAGAGCTTTTCTGACAAAGGAGACATCCTTATAATTGCACTCTACACCTTACATTTTAACTCTTCAACGGGAACAAAATATAGAGCTGTATTTCAGAGTCAGAGCAGGGCTGTTAATGCCACATCTGATCTTTTGCTAGAATATCTATGCTGCAGCATGACAGCACTTTCTGCAGTGAGCCTTCTCTCTCTTTGCAACTCCTCCACTGAGTCATGATTGCAATATCAGATCCTCTGCATCAGTTTGAGAACTTCTGAATTCTTTAGAACTTCTGAATTCTTTAGTAATTTAAAGCCTTGAGAAGCTGGAGACACCCAGCACCTCAAAGAGAGTGATTGCTATGATCATAGGAGTAAACTTTTCACGTATTGCCAAACCTGTATTCAGCCAAAGGACCATACACAGTGAAAGATAAAATTCTTAGGAAATTTCACATCTGTTTCTTTGCAGGAGCCCTGGAATTCCTGTTACTGTTAATTTTGCAGTTGCTTGCTCTGTAAAGATTGGGAAGTTTTCAATTCCCAGGAAAAAAGAACTGCTTAGATGAAGTTTGTTATCCTCCACCTCTGCTTTTCCAAGCAATATCACCACAAATGGGACAGATAAAATATTTAGTTATTGGTTTACTGAATGTAGTTATTGGTTTACTGAATAGCACCTTTTAAAATTTTGACATTTTTTCGTGGTGTTTTAGTGACTCCAAACCACCAAATACTGAAAACTCTGTCTAGGAAACTCCCAGTGAGATCAAAGGATTTTTTTTCGAGTAATAATAATAATTTATTGATAGAATATTAGATAGTGGAAACTTCAAAAAGCCTGAAAGACCATTTTTAGAACTGAGTACCTTACAGCAGACACTTTGCCTTCCCATACTGCTGCCAGAACCCACTTTCATTGCTCCTCTTCACTGTATACGCCAAAAATAGAGTTGTTTGAAACCAGTGGCGGATGGAAGCAATTCATTTCCCAGCAACAGATGCCACCCTAACCAGCTCAACCAACCAACTCAGCAGGGTCATGCAAGAGGGTAGAGTGCTGAAGACAATATTTTCAAGACCCATTTAAAAAAAAATGCCCGTTATTTATAGTGCATTGGTTTTTGGGTATGTACCAGCAATGTTCTGCTGGCCAGTGCATTTGATACCTAGTTGGAGGAAAGTTAGGCTATCATTTGCAGGTTTTCCTGACACTTCTGTTATCCTGAATGCTCTTGATAGACTACAGTTTTGTCCTCACCACCAAGTTTCCCAGCCTGACACAGCTTTTCTGTGACATCTTCCTGTGGCTTTACACCTTCTGTAAGCTTCACAAGCCAAAATTAATATGTAATACAGGAACAATAAGAAACTTTACTGTTTTGCAAGCTATTATTGTGTTCATATCTTCCTTTTTCCCTGTGAAAGATGTTATCAAAATCACCAAGGAGCAACAGTTTACATCTTTAGCAGGAGTGTCCCATTCCTTCAAATTGAGATGATGCAGGATCACCTCCTCTACCTCAGTCATGAAGTAGGCACTGGAAAGCTCTTTCCAGTTGTCTGAGAGAATGGGGCCCTTAGAAAATGGGATACTATCTACTTTATGCATCTGCTTTGACAAGACAGCAGGATGTGTGACCTTTCCAGTTACAGGGGTACATGCTACTTGGATTCCTGAATAGAAAGCCTACCATCACACAGCCTCTTGGCCAGCTTCATTTATGCTGGACCCTCAAGATGGCTTTGTGTCAGCAAATATTCATGGGGGAAACTACAAACACAGATGAGGGTAATCAATACAATACTTCAAGTGCCATATTTTTTGCCAGAAACTGTTCCTGTGGCAGCTGTGCTGCAGTGATACCTAATAAGTCTTTTTCCATTCAGGGAGGATTAAGGCTGTGCTGCTGAGACAGAAGCTGTACTGTCAGAGGGGGAGCCACTGCAGGAGAAATTCAGTAAACTGATTGGGACTATCTGCCTAAGTGTCGACTGAAGAGAACCACCAATGTTCCCTGTGTCCTGGTCAATCCTTTGTTTCACGTTGAATTGAGAATTAGGAAAGTCATGTAGCAGCTGCGAGGCGGTTTTCGCCCGGTGTCAAGCCCTTCTGGTATAGGTTATTGGTTGTGGAGGGACTGACAAAAAGCCAGCAGGCTTTGATGGATGGCAGCCCAGCACAGTACTAGACAGCCCTGTCTGATGGAGCAAAGAACATAAGTGCCAAAGATGATCTAAACAACAGGAGGAAGAAAAAGGCTAGCGCTGTCAGACACACATGACTGCTGAGGAGAAAAGCTATCTTGTAATACCAAGTATAGAGAAATTCAATAAGTTCACTTTGAGTGTCAAAACATATTGCAGAACAAACTATCCATAGAATGTGGCAGCACAAGGGAATAAATGTAATCACAAAATAGTCAGTAAGATAGAGTGAAAATATAAAATGAATGCTATGCAGGAGACAAATGCGGAAATATTGTTAGTGGGAGTAAACAACAGAGAACTCGGTGTCTTTCACAAGTGAAGCAGGCAGAAAATGTTTAGCATTCTCCTGAAAAACTCGTGTTGACTTAAAATGAGAAGGACACAGAAAACCGCTTTATATCAAGGTTTAGGCTGTGACTGGAGTATAATCTAGAATGGTCTTGTATTTCATGAGCTGTAGCTTGAAAAGTTCCAATAACGTTTTATTCGCCACACAAAAAAGGCAGAAGCAGAACAGTGAAAACAGCAGAAGATCCACTTGGGAAAGATTTGGAAATGGACGTTAGGCTTCTTGTTGAATCTTAGCAAATTTCTCAAATTATGAGAATGTGAAGAAAAAGAATCTTGTTACTTTGTGGAAGAAAAAAAAGTGTTTCACTCATACAACTCTTTTTAGCTATATCTTATTTAAGCATGCTCATATATAAAAACACCTTGAAATCAATTTAAAATTTAAAATATTTTGGTCTTAGATGGAAAAGATAGACTCTGAAATTGGAGGAAGGAAGAGTATCAAAGGGACACTGTTTGACTGGATTCTACGAAGTGTCCCCATGGAATTAAAGTAATATATCAAGGGAAGTTTAGGGTCAAACGAGGTAAGTTAATTCTATCAATATGTTCCAGCAGCTACTTACAGCATTCATGCCTGCCTAAGGAGAGTATAATGCCAGGGCTGCATTGCTGATCACATGATAGAGATGGTGATGTAAACACAACAGAGTAAGTGAAATTACACTCGCTGTGCCAAGAGTTGACAAAGTAATGCAAAATTTCATATGCTCCAACACACGTGGCAATAAATCAGGAAATTACAAAAGAAATGAAGCTTTTTACATACTATAAATGATTTTTGCTTGTACCAAGTCATCAGACAACCCACAAGAAAAGAAGGTGATTTAGTTCTGACTAGTACATAGATTCAAGAAGTAGTTGTCAGAGAACCACTTCTGGACTGAAAGTCAACTTACTTGCTGAGAAGGAAAAGGACAAAAAAAATCCACTACAATAATACTTAACTTTCAGAGAGCGAGCAGATAAAAATGAGGAAGTTAGTTAAAAGAAAAATGAAAAGAACAGCTAAAAAGATTTAATGCAAACAGCATGGAGGCAGGCTAGAGATAAAGTGTATGAGAGAGACAGAATAATCACATATAACCCATCTTTTTTAAAATTATAAAAATGAACTATCTTATTCACAAACAAAAAAGCCTTCAACACTCAACCCAAAACAGCAGCATGAAGATTTTAGAAGTCATCTGAATGGAGAAAGATAGGAGAAAAAAAAGAGTATAAAAATCTGTCAAGTTAAATATAAACCACAGTATTTTGAGAATCAACTTACTACCGACATAAAAGTTAATAATCCTTTCTTTGTTAAAATAACCACACTAGAAGCAGGAGGCCTCCCAGAGAGATGATTGGGTAGATAGGCAATCAAGTTATAAAAGCACTGAATACTAAATTGATTGTTTTCACTGACTGATGTTCACAACAAAGGTTAGAGAGTTTCTCACAATGTGAGGAAGTTTCTCACAATGCCTATCGTCATCTGAAGGTGTTTTAGAAGAGGTAAATAATATTGAACAAGAAGAATTGCCATAAGGCAATGTTCACCTAAAAAGTGTTTTAAAGGAACTCAAATATGACATTTCTGAACTAACTACTGTAACATATAACCTGTCAGTTATGTCAGCCTTGATGCCAGAAAAAATGTTGTAACTGTGACGCAGTCTTTAAAAATGACTCAGGGGCTGATCCTTGTAATAACAAACTATAAACCAGACACATTTGTATGCCACTGTAAAAGATCCATGTTGTTCTCTGGTCTAGAATATCACCTGTAGTTTCAGCCTCACCAAATTTAAAAAAATGACACTATAGAACCACAAGAGAGCAAGAGAGCATAGATGACCAGAGATGTGGCATGGTTTTATATAGGATAAGAGTAAATAGATTAGGATTCGTCATTTAGAAAATAGATTGGGAAGTGGACATGTCAAGTATATATAATCATAAATGGTATAATGGATGTAAATAGGGATGTATTATTCTCTTTTTCTTCCTATCTAAGGAGGTATATGCTGAAAAGGCTGCCTACTATTTGCAAAAGGTTTTGTTTTTTGATGGAGCTCTGTATCTGATGGAATTCAGTAATGTTGGAAGTTGTTAGCAAGCTTCGGGCATCCTTTTGCTGGGCGCTAATTCCGTTGTTCCGTCTGGTGTGTGCTCAGCTGATTGGAAAGGAAGTAACTGGCATAGCGAGCTGCATTTAGAACGATCCTGATTCTCATCTTCACATGTATTTGTCTCTAGTTTAGATGACTGCTGGGGTAGCAACTGCATATATATAAAAATATAAAAAGTGTGTATGTGCATATGTGTGTACCTATGTATATATATAAAATATATAAATAAAATCAACCTGATAAATATTACTTTTTTCCAAACATAGTTTTAAAGTATTAATTCTGTGAGCCACACTTTTTATAAGAAGTGAAAAAGTGAATACTCTTACAAAATGTTTTTTGCCCACTTTTTGTAAGTTCTTTTTTTTCTGCTCAGTAAGAATTTAATCATAATTTCATGCCCCCACACTTCACGGTTTGTTACTTGGTCTATTACTCTCATATTTCACTTGATAAGGTCCTGCTTCCTATGATATTCATATTTGAGTTTTGATTCTTCACAGCTGCTGCTTTGAAGTCTTAGATAACATTCTGAGCATTGCACATTGCTCCTGGTTTTAAACTTTTCATTCAACTGCAGTACATAGCTGTGCTTCTCCCAAAGAACTTTTCAGTAAATTGTTCTGTTCTAATATTCTAAAATGAATGTTTTGCTTCTCATCAGGGCAAAACTGTAGACTTTTCTTAAAAGAAGCTAATAACTTCTGTCAAAAGGTTTGGTGATTTATCCTTCAATCCTTTCTTCAAAGGGTTTACATCTGTTGCTCAGTTCAGGATGATTTTGGATGATTGTGTATTCCATACATACATGAAAGGAAGAACTGACGCTCACACTTGTCTTCATGCCCTCTCTCTCAGCACCATATTCTTTTCAAACCAATCCTGTCCAGGACCAGGAAATGAAGCTGTCAATAACCTCCTGGGGTTAATATGAAAGTGTGCTGGAACAGTGAGTATGTGTGTTGTTGAATGGCTATTAGCTGGAAACAAGCATATATAAAACCTCAGGTTTTGCCCTGGCTTTCCCCTTTCAACACTTACAGTGACCTAGAAGAGTGAATCTGGGCTCCAGGTCAACATCAGGTACAAACTTCCTATGCCAACCTTGAGATCTTTTGTTATTAAATGCAAAAATTTGTCTGAGATTTTCTTAAATGGACAAAAAATGAGCAAGGACCTCATTTCACCCATTGAGCTGAGGTTGTTTTGAATCTCGAGGCAATAAGGATGTATAAATGGTGAGCTGAGGGCACCATGGCTGGAGCAGTACTGCAGATATTCCCACTGGTTTCTCTCCTCTGCGTGTCCTTTTTATGTGAAGGGTCCTAATTTTTTCATTCCTTAGCCCTTTCTGTGCAGTGCCCAGGGATTTGTCTATGGATACAAACATGCAGCTCTCATGTAAGTTATTTACAACCATGTAAGAGCACAGATGATGTACACTTACAATTAACACTTACAATTTGACACCTTGTCAAATTATATGCACTGGGTCATAAAGAAATGACAAACTTCTGCCAGCATTAATCTTCCTTCAGAGTCAAGATATGGGGCAGAATTCTCATAATGAAATATCCTTGTTATACAGAACTACTTACAGATATTAGCAGTGCCCTTAGGTATAGGCAGATAAGAACCAGGGCTCCACGGTCGGCCCTGGTAATTCTTCTTGCATTTTCCACAGTCTGGGCCAGTTGTGTTATGCTCACATTCACAAAGTAGTCTTTTGTTTTCTTCTTTACAGCCAGTAGCGTGAAGGTTGCACTTACACCTAATTTTAAAAGGCAAAAATAAAAAAAAAAAAGGTGGGATATTATTTAGAGGTGAGTTTAAGTTCAGATTAAGCCTTAGTAAAGCATGTCCCATTGCAACCACTCTATTCTTGTGTGTTGTGCCTGCGTTGTTGTTTTACCATGTTTTACAAGACATCACTCAGTAGCATCTTGCAATATCTCCATCTCACACAGGTCGAAAAGCACTAATTTCACCAAGACTCCAAGATGCTGAATCTTTTTTGTTTTCACTAATGCAGCTCCACTGAGATCAACTAAATTATTCATAATTTTCACTACAGACAGCTCTATAATCTTGCAAAAATTCAAGAGTTACTACTTACAGGAACAACAAAAGTCCTCTGCTTATGTCCTTAGAGAATCTGGCCCAAATTAAATCCAAATTAGGCCCTGGGAGCCTGTGAAAACAGACTTCAGTTAAATATCAAGTCCAATGCCACACTTCAGTAGAAGGGAAGCTCAGTGTAACTGCATTTAGCCATTCTTGTTCAGCAAGTACTGCCTTGCTCAGAGAGGGAAAATTTTTGCCTGCTTTAATTTGCTATAGTTGTAGTAGCTGAAGGACAGAGGAAGTATTTTGTTAGGCACATTTAATTTCACTTAGGAAGGAACACCTAATCGAACCATGCAACTAAATCATTAGATAAACCGGATTCTGCATCTGATCTTGGAACAATTGTATTTTCCTTAA